CTTCGGGCGACCGCACGATGACGTGATCACATGCAATAAATACATCGTTAACAGCAATAAACTATTGCAAAATGATACATTTAAAACCATTGTCGCTTGAAAAAGCAACTATCTATCCAGTCTGATTTTGTCCTTGGCCAAATGTTCGGTCACTGACATCGTACCTTGTAACGACTCTACATTTTTGTACAACTCGAAAGACTGTTTAATCAGTTGTGTGAATCCAAACCAAATGGAATGACTCTGTGTTAATATCCCCATATAACTTCCTAGTAATCTATTATAACATGCCATTTTATGCCTAACACAAATTGTTTCTTGTGAAAACAACTCTTACAAAGTTTTCACGTCGTTGCGTCAGCGACGTTGTTTATGTCCGATGGTTTTTCCGATAAATCGATTTTGCATAAACTTATGCGATTAGAATTGATATAAAATATGCAAACGTTGACTGAGTCGCAACTTATTCAGAATTAGAGTACACTTATTTAAATATTCAAGTTGAAAATAGTGCTCTGACAGCATATTTTAATGAATTAATTAGCAAAACAGTACTTTTACTCTAAGTGACAAAAACAAAGTTATCGTCGTGAATATAGAAAGCCACTTTCTGTCTCATGCTGATTTGGTTGTGAATTGTGATGCATATGAAATGAGGTAAAAGAGAACATTAAAGGTAATGTTTTAGTTTTTAAAAGTCGATTAATCTGTCCAAATAATAGCACCAGTTGCTAGTATCGCTACCTGTTCGTAAATAATAAATCACCGACTACCGCCCAGTGGCATACACCGTAACGCAGGTGGTTACGTTACAGGAGGCTTCTACGGTCTGGCACGCACGTGAATGCTCGCATCGCTGCACACGCACTTGACTTTTAAACCTTGCCTAAAGTGTACATCGACACTAACCAAATGCTCATTAGAATTATACTTAAACTTACCTACTCTTGGATTTCTACTTGGTTTAAATAAGATCTTTCAATACATGCATATTGCACATAGAGGTCTGATGGTCGCGCTCTTTCTTCACTTATTTCGATTTTGTATTAAAAGTCTTAGTTAGCCCCTAAGGAGCCTATAATTAATATTTTCACAGCGCTTCGAATTCGATATAGAGCCGTGAGTTTGGAAATAAAGCTTTACCTATACCTATTCCTAAACTGAGATGACATCGTTACCATAACCACTTCATCATAAACAGAACATCTAACTAACGAAACTGATCCCAAACGAAATGACCTCAGGTAAAAAGACTCTACCAAAAGTAAAGTTCTTGTCATTATCTAGGTTGCCAAGTCAATATCGATACTATACCGACCGACATATTTCAGTAAGTCACACGCAACGCCTTATTGGAAACTTTTGAAAGTATTGACGTTACACGGTTACACTTAATCGATAACACTCATTTAACTTTCATGGGTTTCATAATCATGTCCTATTAGAGCACGAATATGAGCCTTCCTTGGGTGGACTACATAATTGGAAGGTTTTGAGGAAATTATTTCATTCATTCATTTGAGCGAATTACCTGCGGTATAGAATTTATAAGGCTGAGGGAAATTTAGATTTTGATCTTGTTCCCAGCAAACAAGAAAAGGGATTTCCACCTTTTCATCTATCTAGCGCTTTAAGATCCATGGACATGGATCAATAAAATTTCAAGGTATGTTTGTTGTGAATATTTAAAAAAAACACTTAAAGGACCTTTATTAAAATGTATTGTATGTTTCAGTGCTACGCGATTGATAGCCATAATCTTCCGATTTTCATTTGTTTAGGTATCTTATTTAGACGCACGCCACAGCGTCGTTACTTTAAACAGCGTGCGTTTTGTCATTACAACATCCTTGCTCCAATTTAAGAACATACGAAAGTCATTAGACAACAGTGCAGCTCAAATATCTTCCAGATACCAAACGAGTTTCGGATTGAGGTTGACGTTGATACAAATGACGCTTTATTCGTTCCCGCCTACATGGGTGGCAGCAGTATAAATATGGAAGGAGCCTGCAACGCCGACACTGGCAAATGATGACTCATCATTTTCCGCCTTCTCTTATTATGGTGTTTCACGAGAACTTACTTAGTAACAAAATAACGCTTTAGTTGTATTGTTTTCTATTATTGTGTTATAGAAAAACTTCTCAGTGTTTTATTTTTAAATGTAAATGAGCTATTTAGCAATATTTTTCTGATAAATTAAAAACAGATAACTTTTTAAGAAAGAAGAAAGAATCCTAAAGAGATTATAAATATTAAGGTTAAGGAATTTGCGAAAATCATTGTTTAATTTTGTCCTTTGATTTTTCTTTGTTTACAACTGAACATCTTTCTGATGCCAAATTCTTTCAGAGCCAGAAACAATAAGTTACGATTTCAGCACCATGCGTTTGTAAAAAGAAGCATTTTCGTTACAAAAACAATGAACGGACTTTAATGACTTTCATTTGATTCATAAAACGTAACGGATGAGTAAATTAAAATACAGTTTTAGCAAAGGTCACTACCGTCGTTTGTCCGTGACATTGTGAATGGACAATAGAGATATGTCCAACTAGGCAACTTGCCAGTAAATATTCACTCGTAGATACGCGGTGTGAAAATAGGTATGTTAGAAGAAACGTATAGGTGCTGCAATGTAAATGTTATGCAGATATGTGTAGAATTTGTTGAAGCGGAATTGAGTGGATCTATGGTTAATAGGTTTACCTCAACGCTACTGAATGTACAAATGCTGTAACTGAATCGATTATTTTATTTGCGAAAAAGGTAGGTAAACAGATACACATACGAGATAACAAGATGAAATAATTAGGAGGCAGATTAAACCTAAAAACTCTTAAACTCTACCATTATCACAATAAGTATTGTAAATAGATACAATGTAGAGCTAGCTAGCTTTAATTTAATGAAATTAAATCAGCATTATTTCGCTCGGTCGACAGTTCACATTTCCAACTAGAGCCAAACAAGCAGACTAAAGTAGGCAGTTACCGCAAAAGAAGAAAATCATCTCATGTTAGAGCTACATATGTCAGTCGCCAATAGAATCTACACCAGGGTTATCCTAGCCCACACAATAATAGGACGAAGACGTCAATTTAAATCCAAGTGATCTTTAACTAGAGGTAAGTGTCGCGACAGAGCAACACGTAACGTCTCGTTAGCGAGCATTGCGTAACGCGCCTGTTTCGGCTCTCGGCAATTTATAGTTGTATCGCATACGAGATAAAACTCATTTATGGGCAGATCATCGGGAAATCGTTTGGTGCTCATTCAACTCTTGATAAGAAAATTAAAACTCTTTAAAAGCTTACATTACTTGTAGGTGGTAAATGTGTGAAAAAATAATATAGAGTTCCAAAATGTGTTGTCTTTGTCAGAAACAATGTCATTATCATCATCGCTGCCTAGTGTATTTTGTGGAAAATGTAATGTGTTTTGAAATAAATCAAAGAAAATGTAGGACTTCAGACATTCTGACATAACTGAAACAGTCTCGCTAAATACTTTCCGATTTCCATCCGTTCTATCTATTTCAGACGAATACCACAACATTAAGATGGCGTTTCTTAAAATACTTAAACCATGTCATGTACTTTTGCAAGATACTATGTTACTTTCGTAAAGAAATAAACGCTCTACTGACTTTGTTCGGGAATTCACGGCCATTACATCTCACGCAAACGTTGACGACTACACAAAAAATTAAGCAATACAAATAAGTTTCAAAATGGCGCCGGAATGTTTTGTTGGCTACGTCATCTTAACCTACATGCATTACATAAGCAATGAGTGTATAGCCACTTTATAATGTAATTTAAATAGTTATTTTATAAGGTTAATTGATTTTAAAACGGCTCTATATAAGTAGGGCTTGCCTTGAACCCTCGAAGTGTTGATCGTTGATGGTAATCAACACAAAAACAGCTGCTACTTTTTTGTTTTATTCTGGGTAACTACGAATGAAATGAAAATATTTTATTCATGATTCACTTTTAATGTTTACCTAGGAATTGATGACTGGTTTGAACTACATTTTTGTAAACAACATCCACACGGTGATGTAGTTCCTTAAGCACATCGTGATTCGTTTCGTGACCTATGATGAGTAATTTTTCCTACTCTACCTACTGAAATAATAGTTTTTTTTACTTACTAAAATAATTTTGATGTAATTTCTAGACTAAACAACTTGTTTATTAACTTTTCGTAGTCTAATCTGCAGAATTCTGACCTACGACGAGTACTTACAAGAGTTGAGACAATAATAAGAAAATTAATACGAGTAATAAAGATGATCAACATAGTGGCATATTCCGTAACATATTATACTCGTAGCTCTATGTTAGTTTTATCTATGAGAACTAAGACGAATCACGATAGCAATATTAAGAAACAGCGTCAAGTCTTATCTTAAGGAATTTAAATAATCTAAAATTGCATCGTGGTGGCTCCCAGTTGATATTAAACGCAAAGAGAAATAATACCTATCGTTTATGGAGTAATTTTCTGTAATAAGTAATGCTTCACAATATGTAACCCAGTTCTGATAATAATAATTTAACTCGAAGGTTATTTTTTATTATCATCTTAGGTATTTTAGTCATTATAGCATCATCACATACATCACAGTCGACATTTTCCTCTAGATTCACCAGTAGCGATGAAAACATTACTATTCATTAACATGACGTCACTACTTAACAATCATTCCGATACCTAGCTACCTAAGTATAGTGTCAGTGTCACCAATAATTTTAGAATTTCGTAAATGTGCTTATTGACATTAACGTTGCTTTTATAAATTTTACAACGGTCTGCATTATTCCCAATTCAAATCCTAACTAACTATAGTTACCTCGCTAAAGCCTAAAAACGTAAATTATATCCTACCCACCCTAACGCCTACAACATAATCTATTTGCAAATCTTGGACAATCTTTGAAATAATTATGAAACTTACAAATACGCCAAAAATAGCAAAAATTACTCACCCACAAGTGCAGATTTCGCAGATGCACTGTTCCTTGGTAATCTTCTCTGGTTTCTTGGGGCCGCCATACTTGGGCCGGGTTTCGTCGATGATGACGGTCTCCTCGACGGTGGTCCTGTCGTCACGCACCGTCTTCCTGTCGTCGATGATGGTCTCATCATAGACGGTGGTGTCCTCTCTCCTGTCAGTGATAGCACGGTCTACCACGTCGTATGATTCACGAATCACGTCTTCAGTCGTTTGGACATCGCGCTAAAAACAAAATTCAACAATAACGTCCCCTGTTTTCCAAACACACACCAATACTTAAGTAGCAAAGAACATGAATACTCACCAAGGTTTTGAAGTCTACGTTACTCTTGTCGACGAAGACGTTAGTTTTAATTTTGTCATCCTCTTTAGCGTCCTCATAAGTTGTTATCTTTCTTGTCACACCGTTTTCTGTGATGTATCGTGTCACTTCAATTTGGCTTCTGTTCTTTTCAACTTCAAATGACTTCTTTGTAGTGCCTCCCGTAGTTGTGGTCACTACTGTAGTATCTTCAGTATCAATTCCTTCGTACAGATCTTTTACATCCTCGTTGATTTTAGTTCCGAATGTTACTTTATCTATCCTTTTGAAGGGGTATTTTCTTACTGTCTCTATAATTTCTTTCAAGACTCTGTCATCGATGTTCCTACTGATAACAATATTTTTGTTGCTGACAGTGACATCCTTCTTAGACTGTGAGGATTCAATGATTTTACGTAAATCACTGATTGAAGTAAAATCTTTGATATCCCTGGACGATAAAATAATATTCTCCTGAGTATCTTGACGCTTCAAGTGATGTCTTGGCTGTTCAGGTCTTCCGAATGGAGACATCTCCTTAGGCTTTTTAGGCCTATCATCGTCTTTTTCATAAACGAATTTTCCGTTCCAAGTTCCCGTGCTTCTCTCGTAACTTGTCAATGTGTCTTTAGTTTGAGATGTGGATGTAGTTTCCTTAGAAACATTTTGTTTCTCTAGATTTTTCTTCTCAGTTGTTACGAAGTCGGTAGTTTTTGTAACATCTGTGTGATCCTTCAGATGGGATTGGACGTCAGAAGAAGTATTTGTTTCATAAGTTGTTGAATAAAATTTTGAGTCGGTTGTGTCATGAATGCGTTGATTGTGTACATCTTCTGTGTCAGTGTGATGATGTTCAGTAATCGCCTTTTTCTTTGTGAAGTCCCCAGCATAAACATTACTGGTGGCTGCAATTTCTTTTCCATTCTTGTATAAGACAGATTCTTCAGCAATCTGAGTAGAGCTTTTAGGAACACCGTCTTTGCCAGTATCATAATGAGATTCTTTGTCTAGTACGTGTCTAGTGTACTCGCTTTCAGGCTTTATACCGGTACCACCTACATTGTGACTCTTCTCATAGGTAGCGTGCTCTTTGCTATCGCCCCATTCTCTGTGAGAGCTGTCAACAACTTTTTGCTTTCCATCAACAACCTCAAATACGTACGAAGAAGTAGACGCTTGTTGAGCGCTACTAGTATTACTTTTTAATATTTTTGTCGAAAAATTAACATTTTGAGTGTCACTGACCTGAAGAATATCTCCTACTTTCCTTAATTCATTTTGGATAGTATTATCATAACCATAGAAATTAGATGAATCTGTTTTATTTGCATTACGCCTCCTATCTGTTATGTTTTGTTTGTTTGAAGTATTTTCAATAACATTTTTATCAGTTTTGTTGATAGTATTATACGAATCGGATGTAACAGTTGAGTAGTTGTTCTGATCAGTCGATGACTGATGAATCTGACTAGAGGTCACATTAGATTTCAGGTGATCTTGTGTGCTAGCAAGATGCTTTTGGGTAGAGGCCAAAGTATCTTGAGTAGAGGTGAGCTGATGTTGTTTGTAGTTGTCTTTCTCAGATATAACACTTTCGTGGGTAGTTATCTGATTCCCATCCTTGATCAATTTAGATTGTTCTTTCAATAGCATCTCACTCGTAGGCTTTTGGCCAGCTTTACCTGTATCATATTTTGATTTCATGTCATAGTTTTGAGAACTATAAACTGATTCAGGTTTTATATCAGTGCCACTTACGCTAGCATATGCCTCTTGAGAAGCTTGTTCGCTTGCGTCTCCCCATTCTCTCTTAGAACTGTCGATGATACGTTCTTTCCCATCGACAATTTCAACAACGTAAGAACTTGATGATGACTTTGTTACGCTGCTGCTTTTAGTCTCATTTGACTGCGAGGTACTGCTGTATTGTTTTGTTTTAGAATTTTTATCAAGAGTACCTTCTCCACCGTAAAAGTTTGACGTATCTGATTTTACAGTTTGAACCCTTTTGGAGGGCTCAGGGGAGTTGCGATAATTTATTTTATCGTGTTGCTGTTTAAATTTTTGATCACTTGATACATTAGTCTTGTTTATAGTCTCCGAGGAGTGACTCGATGTATTCTGCGCTGACTGATTTAGAAGTTCTTGACGTTCTGATTGAAGAAAAGTATTAGCAGCATTCGCACCTTGTGATTTAGTAACGAACCGAGGGTTCGAGGCACCTGATGAGTCGATAAATGCAGTGTTGAGCGTTTGGTTGCCGGTCGAGGAGTCGGCGGTTCTATCGAATGTTTGGCTGTGGCTAGAGCCAGAGTGTTGAACAGACGATGAAGATTGAAAAGTTTCGCTCTTTGAACTTTGTTGATGTGACGTAGAGGACTCTTGCAATACCGAGCTAGAAACGAACTCACCGGTGGTTGCTTGAGCCATGTCACTTACGTGATGTTCAGAGTGCGATCTTGTTTGCGATAAGTCAGTCATTGAAGGAGCTTCCGTAATAATATAGTGCGGGTGACTATTGTAATGCTCGGATATAGTAGACCCACTGATCGAGTGATCGGTCACATCAGTGATCATCAGCGGGTCATCCTCCTCGACCTTTACCTCGATGTAGCGCACCTTCTTGCCGGATGAGCTGGACTTCTGAAGAGTGTTGCTGCTCTGCTGCACCGTAGTCGTAGTCTTCTGTACGCTACTCGAAGCACTTGTGCTGGATGTCACTTCGGACGATTTGGACTGTTTAGTCTTTTTATTTTTTATCGTCATTTTGGTCCCACTTCGCGAATAATTTAATTTAAACACTAACTATAGGAGATTCTTAATTACGATTAAATATTTTAAATATATTTTACTTAATTTATATGGTTTATCACATAATAATGTCAAACAATTGCCATGTATTGTTGTGGTCGCGAGAGTCGTTCGTGTCGTTGTCGCTGCGTGCGCGCGCGTCGCTCGCGACTGGCTCGCGGAGTCTGAGCGCGCTGCGCCCGCGCCGCGCCTTGAGAGCGTCGCCCACGAGACCTTGGTGATCGCGACACGTAAGCGCTTACTTACATCTCACTGCTGAAGTCATTCATACCAAAAATGGTTTAAAAGCTACAGCATACGGTGTGAGCAATTTTACACCTAAGTTATTCATTGATGCCTACATTTTGGAAAGAAACGATTGATTTGGCAAGCTTAACTCTAAGCTTTATGTAAATTTATTATTGCCTTATTCAAGTTGTAGCACAAAATAGATACCTAATAGCTCAAATCCTAATTTAGATTTATTAACTGTAAGTTACACTGCACCGGTGTTTTTCAAAATCTAATTTCATAATTTTAGTTGGTCAATGAATTTTTCACGATCTTTTTATAGGAAATGAGTACGCCTTTTCATTTTATATTGTAGGTAAAATAATAGTATCAGGCGTTATTTTGCTGAAATGCATAATTAGATATTAAAAACTTAAGTAAGTAACTATACTTGTGCCGGCGTCACTTAGCGAAAATTTTAAGCTAAGTAATTTTATCTTTTTCATAGTTATCTTAGGTAAAATAAAATAAAATTCTATCGGTATACCAATTCTTAACAATCATCATCATCATCAACAGCCCTTTACAGTCCACTGCTGGACTATGAGCCTCCTCCACTATGGTGGAGGGATTTGCCATAATCTCCACGCTTGGCAGGCGGGTTGGAGATCGCAGTTTAAAAGATTGATGTTTTTCAGAGAGCGCTGCTGCCCATTCTCTGTTTGTTGTGTAGTCCCTAAGTCGCCTCTTACGACACCCGCGGGAAGAGTAGGGGTTGGTGACAAATGTATTCTACTCTGCCGTCACCACACGGCGAACAATATGCAATGTTTATTGAGATAAAAATCATTATTATTTATCCTCTGATGATAGAGCTGACAAGTAAAACGTGGAGGATAACCGGCACCATTTGCATGAGGTTATGGAGCACCCGCAGTGGCAGCCTCCGTCTTCGGTGCAGCCAGCCCGTTCTTGAATCTCGTGAATGCAACCAATGCATGTATAATTCATAAATCGACCTGATTTTTCTTTAAATATTAAGTAGGTACATAAAGGTACATATTTAGATCGTGTTTATATATAATGTTTATGCAAACAAGATGTCTCTATATACATACAGCTCTCTGCCTACTTACTTTTTTTTACCTTAGATTATTTTTTTATGTATAAGTTACACTGCGTTAACAATATTGTAGAGTCCGTTTTTGTAGTTAAGAATGAATTTGAGGAATTAATGAAACCTATTCTTTAACTCGAATTGTAGTGCGTTAGGAATGATACCTAGTACCTAGCTACTACGTACGACGGTACAAGTAAGTTAAAACATGATTAAACATACGAGTAGATATTAATTAGAATTAAGGACATGTACCTTACAGGTTTTGGTAAAGCCACGGTAATACTTTACCGTGGTAAAGCAGTGCTGGTATAAGCACATTACAGCAGTTTATTTTTAACTATTGCTCACGAAACCAAGTTATTTCATAAAGTTTATTTGAAGCGGTGGCGTCGGTTGACCTATTTTGCAAAATAAAGTTAAGGTCACTGCAATGTGGTTTTACAGTCATCACTTGATCGATTCACAGAATCTTGAAACTAGCACAAAAGGTATTTTCCTTTTAACTTTAAAGGAGCAGGAATTTAACTGGGTCACCATCTTATACCATTTAAAAGCAGTAGGTATTAGATTAGATGTATTCTGTGGTATTAAGTAGCCCTGGATTAGGGTCAGCTTTTTACGAGTCATAAATTGTCTCGTCATTCGTTATCGAAATCAAAATCAAACAAATGATTAAAATCTTTGTATCATTTCGTGCTGAATTTTATGAATAAATGATCATTCATTTTAAACCACATGACGTCCATTGCTGAAAATTGGCCTCCCCCAATGATTTCCGGATTAGCTGGTTGGTAGCAGCCAGCCTCCATCCATCCAACCATTATGAATGAATGAAAACTGATTATTTATTTACTTATTATGTTTGGAAATAAAAAAGTAACTTTATGAATCAAGATCGGAACCTAATTGGGAGTAAGTGTAAGGCTTACCTAATTTTAATTTGTTGGTAGTAGGTATTTTAAAAGTTTCATCACACGAAAGTCATAATATTCAGAAGTTTATCGACGTACCTTTTTCCTTTTACTCAAAATATCGATTCTCCTTGAATGTACCTGAGTATTTCTCAAAAAAAATGTACGTAACGAAATAGTAGTAACGAAATAGTAAGGCCATAAGGCTTGTTATACATTGGCGAAATATTGTGAATGCTCTTCATTTATTCAATTCGAAATATTTGTAAGTATGCACCCAAATACGGGGTAATATTAAGGGGTTAGAAATAAAATAAGGGAGTAATCATTCATACTATTTTAATAAAATTATTTTTGTTCCATCATGTTTATCCATTTTGAGTCGTTCTCTGTAAGCTTTTTGCCTTTCGGCATTGGTTTTTGGTGGCATTCCTAAAAAACAAAAGAAGTAATCACATAAAAACGTAATCTAAATGATTTGATAATTTTTTGCTGGTGGCACTTCTGTAAAGCAGATAGTATCCAATCCTTTTGTTATTAACGCTCTATATTTTTTGAAATAAATTAGGTAGTGAATATTACTATGCTTAGTCAGGTAATAACAGTATACACTCAGCATTATGTTGTACTTTTTCGTAACGTAACGAAATTCGTAAAAAACGTAACGAAATATTAGACAAAATGAGATCAGAAACAAGTATTTTTTTGATAAAATTTGTTACAGCAAATATAAAAGCTTACTAAATGTTCGTACCACACGTATTACAAAAAATGGTTAAATGAAGACTTACCGTTCTATATAAAATCGCTGATTTTACTGCCTGTTACGAAAAAGTAATCCCACAAAACACACACGTTTTCACTAATTTTCGCGATAGATGTTATGGCGGAGACGTCAGGCCAACAGCCATTCAGAGTGCAGCTATTGTTGTCCGTGTAAAATAAATACGGAATTGTTCAGAAACCATGGGAAAGTAGAAATAAATCGTAACTAAAGAGTAAATAACGAAATAGTAAATGAGAGCGACTCATTTTGTTTTTTTGCTTTAAATTGCCAATTCATTATGACACCCCATAGAAAATCAATTTGATACAGAAACTGCGATTACTGTAGAACGATAATACAAAGAAATTTACAATAATTTAGTTACGTATCGCATTTTATGAAACAAAAATACATGAAAAAGCTAGGGTGGCAAACAGGTTTTTGTATGAAAGGTAAAAAAGGACTATTTTTAAAATATCTAAATATTTGGTAATAAGTAGGATTATAGCTATAATTCTTCGTTATCTTAAAGATTAATATTCATCCTTCAAAATTGTGTGTGTGTTTTTTTTGTGTGATGATTTATAAATATAAAACTTTTGAACTGTTTCAAAGCACACTTTTTTTTTTCAAAATGTACATTTTTTTTGAGAAATACTCACCTACGGTTGCCGTGCCCAAAAGCAAAGCTGCACAGTGGGTTGCGCAAGCTATACAAGGCCTGCACTGTGGGCGGCGCTTGAATCAGGCGCCTACGCACCGTCTGATTGCAGTTCACTAAATAAATCGATTAATCACAGCTTTTACACCGTTATTGGGTGTGCTATTTAAGATCTTTAGAAGAAATTATAATTACTTATTTAGTGAGGTAGGAGGTAGCTCCGGGAGGTTTGATAATCGTAGTAGGTAAGTAAGTACATAAAGCTTGCAAAGTTAAGCACAAAGGATACGACTACTCATACTTACATTTTTTTACACAAAAAGAAAACAAAGAAATGTAATCAGTCAGTCATGATGATTTTGCCACTGCGCCTATCTAATATATCGAATTCACCATTAAATTCCAAATATATGCTGCTTGATTGATGTTATTGAACTCCACTGCAGCCTCAGCCCGTCAGCCGACAGAACCTTCAACAACAAAAAAATTGTAATTTAAAACAGTATGTCGTCGTAAAACTACTTTAATATATATGCGATAGATTTTTTTTAATTGGAGTCAAGTAGTAGGTAACAACTGCCATACAATATTATCTATGATGACTATTCAATTAAAATACATCATCACGCACGCTTCTGTTTAAATTAGAGCGCCAGATTTGCGCCAATCTATTATTTCAAATGCAAACTTTTTTACCGCTCAATTTTAAATGGATTTACTTCGCAGAATTAGACAGCTAGCGACATCTTTTGACATTAATTACAACTGAAGCATTTGAGTTCATACTGCCATCTCTATTACATAATTTGTACTAAAAGTTTCGGCCATAGACAAGCTGTCAAGTTTTACAGTATTTGAGGGAGAGGGCGTTGCTTGAGTCAAGTCGATAAAAAATGGCGGCGTGCGTCAGCCACTGCGCAATCAAGTAGATGAAGCATGTGTCAAAAATTGTATGAAGCCGAGCGTGCCACTTTTTAAACGTCATTAGTGTCATTTTAGCGAATTTTAGTGATTGCCGCAACGTAAAAGTAATCGTATCATTGTACTGCATTCGCAAAGTCATCGAATGATATCGTATGACTCGATTCGAAAATTAATTAATTCCGATAAAACTGATATTTTATTAAATTTATAGCTTGTCTGACTGTGGTTTAAAATAATTTTGTAGTGGTAGACGTTATTCTACATTATTTATTTTTGTTGTGCCTAATTATGTTTAGGAAAGTAATGATCGTTATTCCATTATGTTAAAATAGTACTACTAGTAATTCATTCATAAGATAAAGACTATTCACTCAAACTTTTTATTTTTAATAAATGTAAAAATGCGTAGTTTTGCCAATACGTTTTGTTAACTGTCTGTTACTTTTGAAAATTTTTCTAAACGACAAAATTCAATGTGGTAAAAAACGTTGGAAGTAAAATGAAACACAAAAGATTTTTCTTCATAATTATATTATAAGTGCAATGAATAGTATTGTGCTTTAAGACAAGCCCTATAAAATAATCAAAACAAATCAAAAGGTTTGAATAAAATTGTTCTTCCGCCGTCATTTATAAAAAAGGTAATGGCAAAATTATAGAACTTCCTTAGGCAGATGCCTCTACTCTGTCTATTTCAAAAAGTCTGGCACTAGGGGTTTCCCGGGGGCCCGATACAAAACCAAAAACATCTTTATTTTTCTTTTTAAATAAATTAATTCTTACAAATCGTCAAATCTCATTATTTTTTTCACCCTACCAGCGATTCAATACAAAAACTTGTCTGGTGTATGAATACACGGATCTGTGTGTGTCATAATGTTATGAGTAAGTACGGTTCCTTGCGATCGGTATGAGTGCACCACATACATTACTCTTAATAGTACATCGCAGGATATGTATTAAAAACAATCCTACTTTATACTTCTTCTACTGCTACTTTATTCTAATTAATTATTTGTTACTTGTGCTGTTAATTACAATTCTCAATCCGTAAATAATTTCTTCCTTCTACCGTGTTCCTACTACTGTCCTCGTAAAATCATCGTAACCGATTGTTGTAATCGGATCACATGAACATCACTCGACCATGTATGTCCATTTGGACATATCGGAATGGCACGCTTTGATGAGCAACTTGCTGCATCTACTCTAATCCATATCTGTGCACGGAAATAACTAAACAGCTGTTCTACAATATTCGGTCGGGCAACTCAGACAAGCAGCAGCTGTACCTGTACGTGCGAGCAACGCCAGCCGTTTTCCTTGGAGTCGCGATTGTTTGGCCAGTTGCTTTCTCATTGTTGTGTCTTGCGCCGTGCCGTGTAGTGTGGAGATTTGGTCTATTCATATTAATTCAAAGTTTATTACTGCTACAGTATTGACGTTTGAAGTGTGTGAATTGCAAAATAATCCGAAGCTACGTTGGCGCTATGTTTACCAAAATTCATCGTTGTTATTGTGACTCGAGTTGAAATGTCTTGTGAATACGTGGACCGCGAGGAGAGTTCCGTTGTGCATCTCAATAGAATCTTTTAAAAAGTGAAATAGTTGTATTGTAGGTTAGTAAAATAGTAGTTGACAATGTCTAGCACAGTTCCGACCAGCTCGGCGCTGAGGGCTCTGGCTTTGGAATACAAAAGCCTGCAAGAGGAGCCCGTCGAGGGCTTTCGGGTGAAGCTGCTAGGAGACGACAATTTGTTTGAGTGGGAAGTTGCAATCTTTGGACCTCCAGACACATTATACCAAGGTGGATACTTCAAGGTAAGTCTACAACACCATTGTCCTGATAATGACAATACTATCAACTAAAAAAAACAAGCAATCTTGAGTGATAACAAGTCTTTGTAAGAAGTTAGTCTCGTTTTTCTACATGATGCTATAAAAAGTACCATGTGGGAGAGAAAAACTGGTCAAACTTAGTAACTAGGTAGGTGTGGGATTATTCTTGAGGGCTTGTTTTAAATATATTTGAACTGTTTAAATCATCAGTAATAATTATCTTCCTACCTTAAATGAACTTCTAAAGTAGGTAGGCACTTAAAACTAACTTATTTCCCCATAAAATGTTTGCAAATAATATCAACCATATAAATATTATATTTTCCTGTTACATATCCTGTTTTGATCTTCTCAAGATAACTGTATCTAAATGGTAGCCATTGTAGGTACTTTTTCCTTGATGGAAATATTCTCCTAAGGTACTTTGATATCAAAAACACCAACATTATGTAAAACAAACAAAACAAATTAATAAACGATATTTCGCACCATCTACCTACATTATTCCTATCAATAACTTATTTCTCTAGGAACCAGCATTCATTACGAATAGGAACCTGATTCTCTTCATGACATAAAGCACAAGTTGTTATTTTAGCATCTACGGCTATTTGGTACCAAATGTATTTAAGCACTTAGTAGGCTACTTATAGGTACAGCTTATTTGTGTTAATTTAAATAGCAAAAGTAGAGGAAATAAAAAGTTCATCCTGTAATTCTGAGGTCTTTATAGTCTGCGATTTACTTTATTTCGTCATTGAAAGTATACCTACAATGATTTTAAAATGTAAATATATTTTTATAAATTCATTCGTTCGTTCGTTTCAGCCAAATGAAGTCCACTGCTGGACAAAGGCCTCCAAAAATTCATTATTTTTTTTTAATTAACATCAAGTAGGCAACTGCATTTGTGTACCATAGTCGATCCATTCGTAACCATAGTGGTTTTGTTAAAAGACCATGCGAGAGTTTTAGTCATAGGAACCTAGTTTATTAAACTACGAACTATTTCTGAATAGTTCCACCAAAACAAAATTGATGAATGACTTATTTTAGAGCTAAATCAGAAATCATTATGTACCTACTTGGTATACCTACATTTTTTTCTTTGGCAAAAAATCCTGCTATCAATTTAGTGTTGAGAATTCCAGGAAAATTGAAACTTTTTACAACTTTGTATATACCTGCTTTGTTTATTTAATACCAATAGTTAGTCACTGTCCATCCATGATACCTATACATCACATTGATTTGGGTGCTAAAGTATGTTCAGTTTAGATTACAACTGATTGAGTACCTATCGCAACATCTAGCAAAATACCCAGCCATCTTTACCATTTGGCATTTTATTATTTACTGTAGGTCAGTAAGGATAATTATCGTGATAATAACAGATGGATAATTTATCGGTTGATAATAACAAAAAAATGCGCTTGTGAAAATGAACTGTATTCGAAATTTTCGAACGTGTATTTCCGCACTTTCGTCTAGTGGTGGGCGTTAATCAACATAGATAGTTAAATAAAACCTATCTATTTAGCTCCAAGATGATCACTATAGTCATCTAGCGTCAAAATATTTTTCTATTTTCCAAGCATTATGCGACTAGCAATGGCTAACTTGACAAATCAGCAACCAAAAACATAATAAAGTAACATTTCTTATAAAACAATATGACTAATGTATCTTATACTGTTGATAATTATCCGATAATTATCATGAAGCGTAATTATCTTGATAATTTCGAACCCTGCTGGTAGGTAACTCATCTAAATTATGTACCTTTATAATTATTAAACCAAGTTTTGTTTGTTTCAGGCACATATGAAATTCCCTTCGGATTACCCATATTCACCACCTTCCATTAGATTTTTAACAAAAGTGTGGCATCCAAATGTTTATGAGGTAAGTGCTTGACTTTTTATAATAGGTTCAATACTTCAATTTTATCAATGTTGTATGTAATGAAACCACTAATTTGTGCTCTATAAAAGATTTATAATTTTAAAGATAAGAAGAAAAACTCATTCTTGGAAACTTATAGGGGCTTTTTCTATAGGTGCCTAATTCAAGAAAATTCTGTCATTTGCTCTATGTGTCGTTCTACAACAGACACCATCTATTTAAAAAAATAATTAAAGTTTGTAAATATTGATACATGAACTAATTGAGATCTAGCCTAGATAATAAAATATTTTTAAGATTCTTGATTGTGGAGATATTTCAGTAAACAAGAATCACAATAGATCATAGACTATACCTATGGGAATGAATAGCAATTGTTTGCGCAAACATCAAATAATTAAAATATCCAGTTTTGTACTAACTCCATTTAGAGGTCATTCATACGAATGTTTAATTCAATTCTAATTCATTCAAACAATTCGTAATTAGCTAATTAGAGTAAACATATGCAAATGTGCTACCGATTCAATTCTATACCCTACTGGCTTATTTACCTATATTGTTTGATTTGTTGTAATTGGCAAATTACTATTGCATAAACTTTTTTGATTACAAATCAAAACGGCGGCACTGCTCGCGATAGATTTTTTGTTTGTGCAGAAAATGCAATCATTTTCCATTCAAAAAGTTTTGCGAATCTTTTTTTTTAAATGTTTAGTTTCGTAATATTAAAAAAAAAAGAAGTAGGTAGGTACCTACCTACTTCTCGAGTCCAATATACCTAATCATCAAAATTGGTTCAGCTCTTTGAATTAACAGACAGACCACAAAGCTACTTTCGCATTTTTATTATTAGTATGGTAATTACTTTAGTAAACAAATTCTCGAAACAGAGCGAGCCTTAACCGCTAGACCTAGAGATTTATGAATTTGAGGATCATTTCGATTTTTAGCTGTGAATGCAGATTTATAGGGCTAAGAAATCCTTAATACACAGTGCAAAAATTTTTGTTCTACGACAAAAATTGACGAAGTTATGGCCAAATTACTAAAAAAGTTCACTAACCGCCCGGCGCGGGGACGATGACGTCATTATATCCGATCCGAACGCTGCCGGCGTACTGCGTGGATAGAAAATATTTTTTTCTAGCCAAATTATCAGTTTTAGAGAAAAACTTGTAATAACATTTATTCATCAGAATAAAGTAAGCTATCGATAGGTAATTTTTAAAAATGGAAATTGTGAAAAATAACGCAAAAAATCCATACGCTCATACGATTCAATGGCACGCAGAGACGCGATTGGGGTCTCCGCGGTGGTATATTTGGCGATTTATTCAAATAAAGTGTACATAAGTGTTGTTAGAGTCATATCTTCTTCCAAGTAAAATATAAAAATGTATAAGTATTAATTTATTTACTTCTAACAATAAGGTATAACTTCTAACAATAAGACATTGCTATGAAAATCATTTCGATGTACACTTAATAGTAATACCTACCTGTTATTTAGTTTTTCTGAGTTAAACCTACGCACCTACCTATTTGCATCGAATCCTATGAAAATGTGGTTTTTGGACATAGCAATACTTATTTTTCACAATTTTTATTTTTAAAAATTACTGGTCGATAGGTTACTTTATTTTGAAGAATAAATGTTATTAAAAGTTTTTTTCTAAAGCTGATAGTTTAGCCGGAAAAAAATATTTTCCATCCCATTAGTACGCCGGCTGCGCTCGATTCGGATATAATGACGTCACGCGGCCCTGCGTACGTTGACTTTTAGCGGCAAAAACGGCCTATGTTTATTACTTAATATCTTCGTAAGTAATAGTCCGATTTGGATAATTCAAAAAGATATATCTTTCTTATGTCTTAAAGATTAACGTAGATACTAGTTTTATTGAATTTTCTACAACAGTACTGATCCTCATTGGGAATCCGATTAACTCAAGACGAAATCGCGTGCAGCCTTTAAAAAATCTAAAAGAAGGATCATTAGTGAAATAAGGAAAAACAACGAAACTTTTCAACTGTTTTCTGTAAGCAAACTGACCACAGCAAAACAATAATAATATTATGTATTATTCAAATCAATACAGAACGCCAAACAGGGTACATAATAATGAGAATGAGTCCACTCCTAACCAGATCATTCAGTCAGACAAGTTTGGAAAGACTTGGACACAATAAATTATTTAACCCTTTAAGTGTTGAGAAAAATATTGGTTTTAAACCTTACAATATTAACTCACTAAAGTTCAGAATATGGTGGCATTACCACCGTTAATGAAATTTACTGGCTGCAAGACTTGGTAACGAAAACCTTTTTGGCATCACATCGCTTATTGCCCTTGACATTGTAATAGTATACGCGAGTACCATCATAACAATGCCGTAACCACCTATCAATACAGACTACAGAAAACAGGAACCTCCCTTCTCTTTTCAAAGTTAGGTAAGGGCCCTTTCCCAACAAAATCAAGTGCGGGATCATTCGTTGCTGGATCTGAAATTGCAAATAGGATGTTTGTGTGAATTTTTATTAAACACAGTAGGTACTAAACGGGACTCTGCAAAAACAGGATGTCTGCGAGGGAAAGAGCCTAAAAACGCAAAATAATAATATTCTTCTACTGTTTATGAAATGAAGTTTTTTTAAAGTCTCATAGATAGAGGTATGTTTTACTAGTGAATAATAAAACTTGTTTCAATTCTCATGCAGCCAGCTTAGAGCCGACTGAATGTTGCAACACCGTTGGCTTCTTTAACCCCTCCCGCGGACCATTTCAGCTGCATCGCAGCGTGACCCACTTTACAGACAACCTTCTTCTAACTTCGATTGTCTCTAGATCTCTATTTTGTATGTAGACTTACAATTTTATTACCATTGCGATCAATCTTCGACCCTCAAACCGTCTACGGAAATGTTTATTGTCTTTGGAATTAAATTCTTTTGAGGACTACTACCTGTGCTACTACCACAGTCAGATGATTAACTTTGCACTCATTGTGTGTGATTCATTTGTATTTACCCAATATGCATACAATTTAAAACAGTTTCATTACAATCCAGGCCAAAACAATACAAAGCAAGGTTGAAGTAGTTGAATAACTCCAATAAAACAGCCTAGAAATAAGTTTGTTCGTTTCCTTACAAATAATAAGAATTTGGTAATAAAGTTAAAGTCTGTGTATAATGAATCCTTTTTCAGAAAGGACAATGGGCAAAATGGTACCCGGCTCCAATAGATATGAGTCTAGTATCCTTTGAAAGGTCTTACCAAGATGAACAACTTTTACTATGACCACCAGCCTCAGATCTGGTTGTGTACGAAGATATACATACTTTTTTGCAGAATGGTACCCGGCTCCAATAGTTTTGTTTGTAGTGTCATTTAAAAGGTCTTACCAAGACGAACAACATTTACTATGGCCACCAGCCTCAGATCTGGTTGCGTTCGAAGATAAAGATACTTTTTGTGTAACTTAAGTATCATACAGTATGAAGGGGGACGCGCTCGGGGCAGGGCACCGACGAGATGGTCGGATGCGGTGAGGAAGACGGTGGGCGGGAGTTTGCATCGTGCGGTCCACACAGCTTATGAACACTATCTGTGGTCGCGATCCTCATCAGTGAGGGACCGAGGAAGAAGAAGAAGAAGTAACATACGTGTCCATCGTATGGTACTTAGGTTTTGCGAGGCAGGAAGGGTTTACTGCTCCAGCATCCTTCCTTAACTCTATAATTATATTTATTGATGGGGATAATTGTGAAATAAATATTTTTATTTAAAGAAGTACTACCCCCTTATTAATAAAAAGTTACACCTAGGAAGAACCTTGGATTAAAATGACATTTCCATACCAAATGACAATTTAAGCCAGAGTTCAACTAAAGTGTAACTTGTATTAATAAAGGGGTTAAAGTTTTATTACCTCTTAGGGTTTTATTATGGGTTGCTAAAGCGAATAAACCCACAAGACCCAATAAGTCCACCCACAAGATGGACCGACGACCTTATAAAGGTAGCGGGAAGGCGCTGGATGCAGGCCGCCACCAACCGGCCATTGTGGAAATCATTGGGGGAGGCCTATGTTCAACTGGACGTCCTATGGCTAAAATGATCATGATGATGATGATGAAAGCGAATAAACGGCTAATAGCTTGGGTAGTTCATCGTAGGTATAATCCTTTCCTTTTCAATGCTTCTTTTAGTTATATTAATAGATTGTAGTCATAATACATACTCGTATACATGGATTTGTGTTATACTTTCATTATAATACTTAGTGGAATTACTGCTTTCAAAACGTGAATTAGAACTGGCCCCATAGCAGACATTTTCCTACATCTAAAGGCCTTTTAAAATATATATTGGTTATGGCTATTGGAGCGGGTACCACTTTCCATACATTTGTGCCCATCATCCTTTGTAATTTTTCAACTTTTATACACAAGTGAAACCACTGTCATAACTAGTTTTACTCATTTGGAGTGCACGCAGGTCAATTCTTAAAACTATGCCTCTAGCCGGTTGTACAGTTTTCGCGTAAGCGGGAATACCGTTAACTTTTAGAAGAGACAGTCAGTGAGTCGACACCGCGAAATAATGTAATGAAACGTGGGGTCATCAGTCGTACCTCCGATTCACCGTGACGCCACAATGAGTCACTGACTCGCTTCACTCTACCAAGAAACACTAATCGCTTATTTTTCCCAAAATTACTTCAAAAACAGAATTTTCAGAATCTGCTGTAAAATTTTCAAACGCATAAGATGAATGTTGTTGGAGATTTACTCAAAAGACGTGACTGCATTCCGTACAATGTTGCAATCGAAAGTTCCAGAATCTCTCCAAAATATATTCTTATGCGATGTTTATTTTCGACTAGTACGATTTTAGAATAGGATCTAGGTGTGAAAAGACAAAGTATTCTCAATTGCAATGAGTCGTCGGATTTCTAGGTAGATATCGATATGCAAAACTAGGCTAACG